TTTGACGTAAACCCTACACAAATAGGGTGAGTCGTGTCAATATTCAATAATAGGGGAAGCGCCCCTAGCCACGTACTACGAAATATCTGGACTTATGTTCATATGTAATTTTAATCCTGCTAACTCACCATAAGAGTGTTTCCCAAAACCTACGCGACTCACTGTTATATATAACATTTTTATACTTGTACATCTCAACAAAAAATTTAATAAAAATTTCTAATGAAAATGCAGCAAAACTAATTTTAGATTTGAAATCACCACATCCGAACAACGCAGGATTAAGTATTTTTATAAATGTACCAAATTAAGTATTATTAAGCATTTTTATAAATGCAAAAACGTTTTCTCCCCAATGCTCAGTGGGCCAGAAGACCATGATCTTTGGCCAAAAGTCAAAAATTAAATTTCAACTTAAATATGTTTAGGCAGCTTTAATATCTCCCTAATTACGAATTCATAATCATTCCAAACATTATAACTTACTTTTCGGACCGACGAGAGTACAATGTAGTGAAAAATATGTTTAAAATTTTTTTTTTAATGTAACTTTTAAATTTGTATTTCAGAAATATATATAGGAATTTCACCTTTCTGTAACATTTTTATCAGAGTCTGTAACTATATAGTCTGAATTATATGTATTTATATCATATGTAATCATATGTACAGTCTGAAATTATAGTACAATTTTTCAATTTGTTGGATTAGTTAATACTCTTGACAAACTTATAGTTTATATCTTATCATTTGACATTTTACAATGTTTGAATTACTTTCGAAACTTATCTCTAAAAAGTTCCACGAGGTGAGGTAATTAGTTTAACATTTTGCCCATATTGAAAAGGTGGACTAAATATACCGACAAACAAAAATTCTGTTGTTTTTTTCATGTTTTCGCGTTATTTTGTAATTAATTCGCATTATTTTGAAATATATTACTTCGGAAATATAATTTGCTTTTCATTTTTAATGTAAAATTACGAAAAATTATTATATTTTCATTGCTATATTTAATTATTTAAACNAAATTTTATCGAAATACTAATTTTGGCCACAAAACCTTGGATGTTGGCCCATCCTTTATTTCTTTATTCCCTTTATATCTTGCATGTCGTTTACTTCAAAGATAGGAACTGACAGAATGGGTGGATTTGATGGGTTTTCTTTTTTCATTTTTGTTATTTCTGCATCTGCCTGCCTAGCTTTTGCTACAATTTTGAAATAAAACTCAAGGTTTTCTGTTGATCCAAAATCTCGAAATATTTCATCTCTGTATTTCCAACTGTCCACGTTAAATATTCAGTTGTAGAATTCAGCACTTTCAACCGCTGATTCGTGGTAGATTAGATAATCGGGAGATCTGCGGAAAATTTCTTTTGATTTTACAGTATCCATATCAGCATTTTCCTCCTTTGTTTCTTCGTAGGGTGGTATATTGGAAGAACTGCTGACGATTTCGCTCGATGCTACAATTTTTAAGTTTGCACTTTCCTCTTCGGATTGACAGGGTGATAAAATTGAGTAACTGCTGGAGATTTTTTCTGATGTTTTAATTTGAATGTTAGAATTTTCATATCTTGATTCTTGGTGGGATGATAAATCATGGCTATATCACACGAGAGAAAATAAGTGCAACTGTAAGTATAACTGTAAGTGTAAGTGCAACTGTAAGTGTAACTGTTAGTGTAAGAGCAATTGTAAGTGTAACTGTAAGTGTAAGTGCAACTGTAAGTGTAAGTGCAACTGTAAGTGTAACTGTAAGTGTAAGTGCAACTGCAAGTGTAATTTCTCCTAAAATTGCTCGAAAAATTCTCGTGTGATATAGAAATGACGGTTGCACGAAATATCTGCAACTGTTCAGGCAATTTCTTACGTGAACCAATCAGATTGTTTGCTTTTTATGACGTTTCAATTTTATGTGATGACATATACAAATGTAAATAAAAATGGCGGCGACGTTGGTGAAGAGGATGATCGGATGAAATTTTTTTATAGATGAAACGGAAGTTTTTTAGCTTAATAATAACATTTCCTTTAAAATTAAGGCATTAAAAATACTTTCACACGATGAGATGACCATCTCAATGCAGTTGATGTACTACCATAACAGGAACCTGCACATCATTTTAGTATCGGTGAGTATAGTACACGATTTTCTAGATAAATTTTCTTTTAAAATATTTATTTATTTTAAGCTAATAAAATTAAAACTTATTATAATTTGTTCCGATCAAAGTTTTAATTACTTTAAATAGAAAGAATTTCTATTTTTATATATGTAAAGATTTCTACTGGCGAATAGCTTTACTTTGAGATATTCGCCAAGCAACTCGCCAAACTTTGTTGTATTATTATAACATAAAATATAATAATGATTAAATGATTATATTTCTTTATTTTTAAATTTTAAGCTTTATTTCTGTTGATTGTAAAAGCATGTGTCCGATTATTTGAAATATTTTTATTATTATAATCATTTGAGAAATAATTATTTTATTCTTCCCTAAGAATTCTTTTAATTTTTTTAAAGCAAGTTAGAAAATATGTGTGGTAAATATTTACCTTGTCTCCTCACAAAGTTACCCCATTTTTCAATGATTATTGAAAAGTTTTAAAAAATAAAGTATATTATATATAAGAAGTAATTATAAAAAATGCAAATTCCCAATCTCCTTGTCTGTTTCTACATTCATCCCCTCTATTTTTTTTTTATTTTTGGTGNATTTTTTTTTTGTGTATGATGATTTGCATAATATTTTGTTTATAATTATTCAAAGTTAACTAATGATACTTTACTTTTTATTTATACTTCACATTTATCTTTTGATACTTAACTTTTCCACAATGACAGTAAGTAACGTGTATCTTACTAATTTTTCAATATACTTACATTTTTAATAGTCTTCGTTTATAAATACAATTTATTTTTCTTAAAACAAATTTCAATCCAAACATAAGAACTACAAAACCAAATATACCTGCCCTCTTTCATTATAATATAGAATAATCTTAGAACTATAATCAAAATATCTGTCAAACTTAAAATAAGTTTAAAAGGGATACCTAAGGATTTAAATGATTTTAAATTTATGGTATTTAATCTCCCTTATTCTAATAATGTGTTGGTAAAATTTTATCATGAAAGTGATTTCTCTCTTTTATTTCAGGTATTTCGTATAATCCTGTAAGGTTTGTCTGGTGAAGAAGGAAAGAGATGTAATACTATTTTTATGAAAGAAATTAAAAAATAAGAAATGAAAATGAATAATGTTCTAAATGTTTCACTTGATATTAAATGTTTTATTTTTTAAATTGATTCTTGTATTATTTAAAATGTAAAACAAAACATGTAAAAGGCTATAACAAAATAATATGATACATAAAAAGTATGTTCTTAATAAAATATTGTTTTTTTCTTAGTTATTAATAATTTTTAATTTATATATTGTATATTACAATAAATTTGTCCTAAAATAAATCCTATAATTTTTAATTAAGTTATCTTATACCAATAATGAATGTTTTAAATTTTACAATAATAAATTGCAAGTATGACATTGAAAATCCTCTTATATATAAAAAACAATGTTACTGAGGAATTGGAAGAAATAATTTTCATAAAAGTGATATTCCTGATATGCAATGTGCAAATGAATAAAATTGATGATCCCTTAATGAAATGTAAATTTATTTGATGACAATAAAATCTGAGACATTGTAGATAGACAAGTCTAACATTATTTATTATGTATTTTTTTGACTAAATTAAAAAAAAAGAATTGATTTGATAGATCTAATAGTTTTGATGTTATAAATATTTTATGAGTAAAAGGTAAGTCAAAAATTTCATATTTCATACATTAAACCCTTATTTCTTCTGAAGAATTATTTCAAAGAACTATTTTGTTGAATTAAGCCTAAAAAATTAAATTTGAAGAAATGCCTTACTTGTATAGATAGCAATGTCAATTGCATGAAGTGGTAAAAGTCAAAAAATTGTCCTTTCTACACATGAAACTCTTATAAATTTTCGAATTTCTAAATTATTAAACCAGACAGCCTGGTTTTATACTCATTCGATTTACCGTATACATAGATAATGATACCACACTTACCTAACTAGCATGTTAGATAGTAAATATTTATCAATAAACTATGCTTTTACAGGGTGCTGATCCAAATTTTTCAACAAAAAATAAACAACTTTTAAGAACATTTTAGGCACTCAAGAAATATTTTTAAGCACTATGTAAATTGACAAAATGCAAAATAATTTTCAAAGACTTTACATGATCATGATAAAATAACTAGAATTTGACAAAGAACTCTTTTCTTGATTATATTAGCCATTAAAAAGTGATCAAGAGATATTTCGGTCCGATTTCAGAGGTTGGAAAATGAAGCCTGAAATCGAGAATATCTTGCAAAATGCAGCAGAGTTGCACACGAGAGAGCAAGAATCTCACCGAACCCAGCTCACTAGATGCACATGCGGACTCGCTAGTATTTCACCAAACCTGTAAAATGATTGGCGCTCTCATACGCTATGAACTGACGGTACGCTTAAATTGATCGTGGTTGAATGAATTCGAAAACGTGAAATAGAAAAATGTGAAAAGCACGCATTTTCAAAATACGTGGTGAAAATCGACAATCCCTTTCCTAAATCTCATTTTCGAAAAGGGAAAATAAAGCACTTTTTAAAAGCTCCCCTTAAGAAAGCACCTTTAAGGGCTTTTAAAAATGATAATCGAAAATAAGCACTTTTTAAGAACGCTGCTCACCATGTTTTGTACCTTAGTCACTCAAATCAAGATTTAAAAAAATCATCAAAATTCTAGATAGTATTTAAGTCCACCCCCTTTCACCCCCTTATCCTTTTAAGGACGCTGCATTAAATTCAATGATATCTTAATATCATCTCATATTATGAGGTAGAAATCATAATCTTTTTAATACTATGCAACTTCACTAATGGGGAAATAAAGTTTTCAGAATTTTTATTTGCTGCTGAAAAAAAGACTTAACACAAATACAAATGTAAAAAATTAAATCAAAATCAATCAATATTCTACAGCGTCTGTGATTTCTTTTCCCTACCTTTAAGAACATCGTTGAGAAACTTATGATATAATAGAATCGTATGATAAAATAAAATATAAGCCAAAAGTAAAGATAAAATACAAAATATGGTAACCCAATTACATGCAACCGTTCAGGCAATAAAGCAACCCTTTCGGCAACTCCGAACGGAGGAATTGCGCTTAGACTTGCACTTACACTTACAGTTACACTTACGGTTGCACATATTTTTCTCTCGTGTGATAGAGGCATAAGGCAAGAGATTAGCTCTACTTCATGATTGTGAAAAATGGCTCATTGATATCCCTTCCCACTTATTCTATTTATCTTATTTCATTCCACAGCAGTAAAAGTCAAAGAATCAACAGTATGACAAACGCTAAGGAATTAATAATAGCAGATGTTATTTTAAGTTACGAAATCAGACACAAAAACATACTCTCTCTGAAGAAACATACCTTTTTTCGACGAATTCGAATTTCTGATCCCCAAAACATAGGGGAAATATGGTTCTAATAGTTTGGCCAAGAGAGCGGCCCAAAGTTTGGACCTATTACAACTAATTTTACTTTTTGCGTGTTTCGCCATATCTCGAGAACTTTTTAAGCGAATCAAAAAAATTTTACATACAATTATGAAATTTGTTTATCCAGAGGTAATTTCATGCAAAACAGGGCAGGCATAACTGTTTACTAGTAAAACTCCCCACGAAATCTGGCTCAAGCGCTACATTCGGAAGAAAGAGTTTTCCATAGGATTTGATTAAGATTTTATTTATAAGCTAATTTCAAGCTTGCCGCTCTTATAAATTAAAAATTAGGTACCTAGCATTGGCAAGAGGAACAGCTTACCTTAATGTTTGTATGATAGAACCTCCCTGCTTTGTAAGATAGTCTGCTGACTCGTTACCAGCTGTACTGCAGTGTCCCGAGATCCCATACAAAGCAATTGCCTTAGAAAACCCAAACAGGCTTTGAAGAAGTTTTTTGCACTCGAAGATATAAGAGGAGACAGAACTAGAGTGGCAGAAATCGCCGCTTTTGTGTCACGGAAGATAACAACCCTTTCAAAACTGTTTGAATGACAGCGTAACTGCGACAGGGCTACACGAATAGGAGCAACGTCACCTTTAAAAGCAGTTGAGCAACTTACAATTGTAAAATTAAGAAAGAAAAGATGGCTCTAAACCACTGCTTCTGCCTTATTAGTTTCCCTCAAAAGACTTCCATCAGTTTAAATGTGTACCCTGTCCAGTTCCGGATATAGGGTGCATTATATCGTTTCTATGGTAAGGGTCCTTAAAATAAAGATGTCTTGTTCGCTTTTGAAAACCACTTGGCTGAGTTCAGTATGGATCTAAAAACCTTTATGGATAGTTGGATCTAAAGATGGGACTAGTGGCTCGGGACAGAAGTTTCTAAAAGTAGTTCCTTAAGTTCCAGGACACCCTGCAAAAAATCAACTCCCTGTGTCCAAGGGGTCATAGGCGAGAGGCAGCCAGGTAGTCGTATTATTTTTTTCCACAGAAGTAGGGCCATTTCCAGAAATAAATTCTTTAAGGCACTGTTTTACGCTATCATAAGCATTGTGTTAATCGGTGTTGTTTTCACGACCCATGTAGTGATCCGCAACGCTTGATTTTGGGTCTATCAATTAATTCAGTAACAGAGTCAAATTCCGTAATCTGAGGCCCACAAGAGTTAGTTATAATGAGCAAAATAAAAAGTTTATAAATTAGATTCAAGGTATGATAAGCCAGTCGTTTCCACGGACTGTTCAGCAAATGGGCGAAATTGGGAAATTGTTTCTTCCCGTTACACCACTTTTCTATCTAATAACGTGGGAAAACCGGTTTTGCTGTGCGCAGAAGACTGCAGGTTAAAATACGGCTTTTTACGTGCAGACCGTCAGTGGGTAAAAAGTGACAAAGAAAGAGACAATTTAGAATGTTTTCCGTATGTTATTTCCAGGATAGTTTCCGATGAAAGGTTACACCCAAATAATTGAACTTGACGGCATCAGGGATAACGCGTCCTCGACATAAATCTTTATGTAAAGGTTGATGTGTCAGTGAACCCTTACGGAAATTTAAGGTATATTTAAGGTTGATTTGAGGTATTTTTGAGGTATATTTAAGGTTGCAGAGAAAACAGCAATAAAAATTATATCTCGTAAATGTTGGAATTAAGGTGTACGAGGTTGTTTTATATGCATTTCAGCTTGTTTTGAGGTTGTTTAAAATTCACTTCAAATCAACCAGACTGATAAGGTGATTTTTGAGGTATACCAAGTTTATTTTCTTACACTTGTAACAAAAGAGGTGTTTTTGAGGTATAAAATTTTTTACCGTGTCTCAACTAAAGAGAGTGTGGTATTTATTGAGGTATATGGAGTAATTTTATTTACACTTTAGCTTATTTTGAGGTTGTTTAAATCCACTTCAAGTCAACCAGACTGATGAGATGATTAAGGTATACGAGGTTGTTTTTCTTACACTTGTAACAAAAGAGGTATTTATGAGGTATAAAAAAACTAACCTTATTTCAACTAGCGAGAATGAGGTATTTACGAGGTATAAAAAAATGTACCTTACTTCAACTAAAGAGAGTGAGGTATTTATTGAGTTATACGAAGTCATTTTATTTATACCTAAGCTTATTTTGAGGTTGTTTTAAAATCACTTCATAGCAACCAGACTGATGAGGTAGTTTCCAAGGTATACCAGGTTGTTTTTCTTACACTTGTTGTTTTTCTTACACTTGTAACAAAAGAGGTACTTATGAGGTATAAAAAAATCAACTTTATTTCAACTAACGAGAGTGAGGTAGTTTCGAGGTATTAAAAAATATACCTTTTTTCTACTAAAGAGAGTGAGGTATTTATTGAGGTGTATGAAGTCATTTTATTTATACCGAAGCTTGCTTTTAGGTTGTTTAAAGTACACTTCATATTAACTAGCTCACTTCCCAGAGTTCCGTGCGAGCCGGCAAATGGCGTGTGTATTGACAATCGAAAGTCTATTCGAAACTCGGTAAGTGTGCTTGACATTTATTAATTTACTTTTATCACTTTTAATCATATATGCTTCAATTTTTAAACTTAAATTTTATTATTTTTGTTTTAAAGACGCCTCCTGATCTTAAATAATTTAAGTAGGAGGATATTCTTAGAAGCTATTGGTGCAGGCTTAGCAATAAGAGAGAACAATCGAAATATTTCTCGTCGTTGTTTAGGGTAACGTTACTGGTGAATCGTTACAGCAGGCTATGCACAGTATCATTTATTGTTTGTAATTTATTCAAATATAACTATTCTTTTATTTTGCTTAAATGTATATGCTTCAACGTTGCTGTATGCAAGCTGATTAGTTGAGTAAAATGTTCTGAATTTCTCTTATAAATAAATCATTGAAAATTGAAAGATCTTTAAAATAGCAATTTTGCTTTGAAATTCTACTATAGCTGTATGCTTATCGTTTGCTTGGATATCTGCTGCAAAGTTTATATTGTTGCTTATAAGTGAAAATATGCATAATAACACTGCATTTTAAATCTCATTAACATGTAATTTCTTTTTCTTACACATATATATATATATATATATGTGTGTGTGTGTATATACATATATGTGTATATATATATATATGTTTACAAAGCTTATTCACTGTTCCCTGATATTGCTGAGATGACCTAGGCTGTAAATAGTGCATGTGCAGCAGCGATGAAGAAGTAACTAGCTAATTACTTCTCAGCCTTCCCCTAAGAAATTGTCCTGAATTTATACCATAAAGAAAAAGTAATCTCTCCTAATTGACTACAGCATTTACTCAATTGTTGATAACAATAGTGTGTTAGATATTTGATAATTGAAAACTATTAACTGCACTAGCTAACTTTTTTATGTTTGATCACACTGCTATTTTCACTACGTGTTATTTTTTCTCAATTTAGCCACGTTAATTATTTACTAAGCAGAGTTGGTTGGTTTCTGTTAAATATTTTATTACTTATTAAAATATTGAGCAGAATCAAATTAAACACGATTTCAAGTTTATATGACAATTTGTTTCAAGGTTATGAGCATTTTTATGCAGCTGTTTATGGTTCACTACTTCAAAAATTAGCGACTTTCGAAAATCTTACATTTTTTAGAAATAAGTCAGTATAGCTTCTTATGCAATTTTAATGCTGAATTGAATAAAATCAATTGCAAATAAAGACATTTATTGTTGGAAGTAACATGCAATTTTTTGAATTTCATCTTATGGGATGTGTTTTTATATTTAAACAAATGTTTGTAACAACTAGTTTTATTCTGCTTGGTATTATAAATTATATAGGAGATATTGCATTCAACTTATTTTAAACGTATTATTTCAAATCATTCTCTCTTAGACATTTTCCTCACATAAAATTACTCACAACTTTAAAATAAATGCTCCTTATCAACAAGTAGTTTGTCCTATTCGATTGAGTGTAAAAAAAATAAAAATTGGTACATAACTTTAAAACTTAATTTATTAAACGATTGTTGATTCTTGATAACATTTATTAAAAAATATTGAAATAACTATTTTTTAAGAAACTCTTATGTGATTGACAATAACGGAAGTCCTTTTCAGAATCAGCGTCTAAAGTTTATAAAAAAGCTATTAGTTTCATAAAGTCAGACAAAAAGTTTAAAAATATATAGACTAGGTTTATTGAGTTTAAAGATTTGTACGAAAAAAAGAAAGAAAATATAATTATCGAACTTACAAGTACCATAATGATACCAAATGTATAGAAAAATACAAAGTGTTAAAATTGCATATTAAGATTGGAATGATATATTTGAATTTCTGTAAATGTTGTTAATTGTAGTACTGACTTCAGTGTACTTTATTTTGTGACTGTGGTACCTGTCATGCTTTTCAGCTATGAGGATTGAATAGAAATGGCAGAAGAGTACTACTATTTATCTGAAAAAGAAAATTAGCTTCATCCAGTTAATTTAAATCATAAAAAAAATAATTTCTAATATTTTAATAGTTTAAAACCTGCCACTATAATTGTAAATATGACTTTCTTACTAATTCATTTTTTTTTCTTTTAGGTTCCAATAATTACAAGTTTCAACAGGTAGACGGAAACAGTATTTAAAATAATTTTGTTGATTTTTAAAAAAATTAAATTTTAGTATTAAATAAAAGTATTTGCATTTCAGCTGACTAATTATTTAAATTTGTAGTTTTATAGCTTAAAAAATTCAAGCACATTAGACAACTATCTTCTAAAAATATGAGTTCCATAAATGATTTTTACTAATTGTAGAATTTGGATAAGTGTAATTTTAAGATGATTTAATTCAATCTATTAAAATTGCAGAAGAATTATGCATTTGAAACTTTCCTTTATAACTTAACAAAAGCAATTACTGCCGATGGTTTAATGTTAAAAACTTCAGATTGATAAATGAAGATCTCTACTGGTGAAAAAATGCAATGACATACATTATTCTTTATACAATTTAGATAATATCTTTATATATATATTATATTTTTTATATAGTGAGGTTCAACTAGGTGGTCCCTAATCAACTAGGTGGTCTGTATAACACCTCACCTTCGTAAGTATTGAAAAAACAGCTTTAGGTTGAGCTACATAAGCCTGAAGTGCAAAATGTCGCATCTTTGGTTGATAAATTAATAATTCTAAAAATACAAAAATATATACTTCAGGTTACGAAATAATAACTTAAGGTAGGTATCTTCCCTTCCATAATAACCTTTAATAAAAATAACCTTTCCAAGTGAGGAAAATACACTTCAGGTTGATTTATAACAACCAGAAGTGTAAAACGATGCACCATAGGTTGATAAATATATACCTCTACAAGCATAAAATTAGATACCTGAGGTTGAAAAATAATTACCTCAGATAGAACAAAATACACCTGAGGTTGATTTATAACAACCAGAAGTGGGAAGCGACACACCACAGGTTGATAAATATATACCTCTACAAGCATAAAATTATGTACCTGAGGTTGAAAAATTATTACCTCAGATAGAACAAAATGCACCTGAGGTTGATTTATAACTACCAGAAGTGTGAAGCGACACACCACAGGTTGATAAATATATACCTCTACAAGCATAAATTTAAATACCTGAGGGTGAAAAATAATTACCTCAGATAGAACAAAATACACCTGAGGTTGATTTATAACAACCAGAAGTGTGAAGCGACACACAACAGGTTGATAAATATATACCTCTACAAGCATAAAATTAAATACCTGAGGGTGAAAAATAATTACCTCAGATAGAACAAAATACACCTGAGGTTGATTTATAACAACCAGAAGTGAGAAGCGACACACCACAGGGTGATAAATATATACCTCTACAAGCATAAAATTATGTACCTGAGGTTGAAAAATAATTAACTCAGATAGAACAAAATGCACCTGAGGTTGATTTATAACAACCAGAAGTGTAAAATGACACACCTTAAGTTGTTGAATAAGTACTTCCACAAGTGTAAAAAAATATACTTCAGGCTGATAAGTAATAACCTAAGGTTGAAAATGAAACTAAAGTAGTAGATATCTACCTCTCCACAGATGTAAAATTAAACACCTCAGGTTGAAACATATATACCTCTGGAGGTATATTTAAGGTATATTTAAGGTTGATTTTGTGGTATTCATTTGCACCCTTTTCAACCTTAACGACGTATTTAAATAACAACCTCCTTTATACCTTTAAAATATACCTCGTTTATACCTCATTTATACCTCGACTTTTTCAAAAGGGAAGAAACTGTTTTGTCCATGTCAACTTTCATATTATTTTCCTCTAATTGCTCTAAGACATCTGAAGCTAAATTAAAGCCATGACTAATTTTTTGTGCAGCTTGTTTCTTGGGGATTTCAAACCCGATCACGTGGTTGTCAGCATAGAGCAGGTATCTAATTCCAGAATTGTTTTGAGTTTTTTGACAAGATCATTGATGTAGATATTGGAGAGGGTGCAACTGGGTATTGAACCCTGTGCAAATCCAGTTTCTATCATACCGCATTTCGAGAAGCATCTACCTTACCTGACCCTACATATAAGCTAGAGGAGTAAACCATGGAAGGATCTAAACATGTTGTCTCGATACCAATATTGGCGAGCTTCAGCAAGAGTTTGGCAGTATAAACGGTGTCAGAAATACCAATTTTAACTTCCTTAATTATTTCTCACAATTTTAAACATTCGACATAGTCTTTTAGAATATTTAAAAAAAGTTTTTTATCCAAAATAATTCATGATTTCTTATAACACAGAAAAAAAGTTAAGTCAATCAAAATTTTAACAACTATCCCATTAGCTAAAGTGCTTACATTTTAAATGGTGGTCAGTTCTGGATGACGCGTAAAGCTTGAATCGTTTTAATTCTAGAATGAAAAGTTTAAAATCATTTCAATAACCAAGAACTACCCTTTTACCACTCCGTTACATACCTAATCATTTACTTACCATTATACCAATCTTACCATTTTCCAGTACTTCTCATGAACTTATTAAAAACGAGCAAAACGCAACATGTCTAGCTATGCTGCATAATGTTAGAATTTGCTTTATATTCAATAATTATTTTTCTAGTATATGAACGGAAAAAAAACGTAGCACGAGCGTGATAAACTTTACGTCCTTCAAAAGGAAAGGAAAACAGAATGAAATCTACAATGGAAAAAATTTTAAACCATGCATCTAGAAAGAACAATGCTGCTCCACTAAAGGAATTAAAATGAATGGGATATATTTTATTGAAAGGAAATGCAGAAAATGAAATGAATTTACAAAAATGTCATCGTTGTATACAAACCAACAATATCAAAATAAATTATAATAGATTATATTTTGATCAAAAAAATAATGCAATCGAAATACAGTTTATTTTTCTAATTTTTCTTTAAAATCCAAAGTTCCAAACAAAAAATAGGGAAATAGATCACCACGTAAAGTGAATTTCGCATTATTTTAGACAAAACTTACCTATTCAATCAATCCACAATATTTCTCAACACGCTTTATTGTTTAAACAGCTAATTTTTACATATTTAAAGCTGATTCATCTGAGTTGAGTATAGATAGCCGAGTATAGATATTAAAATAAGGCAGTAAATAATCATTGTTGTTAAGATGAAAATTAATTTAACATTAACTATTATTGTTTTGACCATTGTAAATGGTTTTAACATGTCTTCAAGTTCGGGAGACATAGGTGACGGTGAATACTTTGAATCTTGCATAAAATGGATTAAATGCAAATTAGAGGGTGAGAATACTTTTATGTTTATATCGTTAACGTGTGCGTTGTAATTATTGCACCTTATCAATAAGTAAGTTTAGTAAGTAAGTAAGTGAGTTAAGTAAGTGAGTAAGTAAGTGAGTTTAGTGTGTTAAGTAAGTAGGTGAGTGAGTTTAAGGAGTTAAGCGAGTAAGTGATTTTTAAAAAAGGATAATTTTCCTAAGTGACTATACATAAAACAAAGGAGTACATTTATAATTAGCATTCATACATTCATAAAAATATACATAACATTCATAATAACATTCATAAAACAAAGGAGTACATTAATTCAAAGGAGTACATTCAAGGAAATGTAAGCAAAACATACTTACATTTCCTTGAACTTTGTTGTAATTTTAAATTTAAATGCTTTTAAAAACCTTTCCGTGACTAGTTTTGAAAAAAAAAATTTTGTTTAAAACAGAAAATATCAAAGTATTATTGGATTTTCTTAAACAAATTTACTTTCATTATTTTCAGCAAATTTTCACACAAATTTTTCAAATTAATTATCTAAATGTATACCTAATATAATGTATTATCTAATATATTACATTCGGTTAAATACATCTGTTTCGAATTCCTCATGTCTGCTTTAACTATATGGATGGGTGCGAAAATTGGAGATAGGGGTGCTTATTACTTTACTCCCTTCTTTCTCCAACCGTTTTCATGTTCGTCTTTCTAGGTTAAACTTCCTGTTTTCTAATAAAAAGATTAACTTGTTTGATTATAGATGAATTAATTAGTTCAACATAACAGTTTAAATTGCTCATTCATTTCTTTTATAAATCCAAGTAAATCGAAATCTTGGTAACAGTTATGACTAGAGACAATGAGTACTTTCAATCAAAAAAGGAAAAACTGAGGCCGAAATTTGATCGACTACGCTATGGTTAGAAAGAAATGGTGTAAGCTCGATTGCTTCGAAATTAGTTATGATTTCTAGCCGAAAAATTCTGAACTACACTTTATTATTCAAGAAGAAGGACCTACCATTTTGATGTGTTTATTGTTGTTGATTAATTCACGTTGTCTCTGCAGATACGTTTGTTTAGCTATTATAACTTTCTAAAGTTCTTTTATTATCAAACTATCAATAATTATTAGTCATTACGCTTATGAAAGTTATTTTTATCCCATCTCGTTATGCGTTCTTAAAAGCTTCATAACTTAGCAAACAATAAGGATATAATCTATTAGTGAAACTGTTATGTTTCGTCTCAATAGCCTCTGCTCTCTGGGTAAACCAGGCATTACCATGTCTCTCCATCCTCCTTCATGTGCGTCTCCTTCATGTGTGTTACCTTCATGTGTTATGTGGCTCACGAAAGCTGCAGAGCAGCGGAAGAAAAAGATAATTATATCGCATGTCAATTACAAGCATAATATTCTTAAATCGTCATATAAAATTCCCCTCTAGTGAGTTATGACTAGGTGATTAAACTTTTTCTAGAAAAAAAAACTTTTATTAAAATAGGTAATACCTTTTCAAGAATGATTAGAATGAAATTTAAGTCTTTTCTAGAATGAATTTTATTTTGTAACCAGCTTTGAACAACCGACCCACCCAATATTTCGGGTTTACGACTGCTAGTATTCAACTCCGTAGCCTTGTAATTTTTAAATCAATCCAGAGGACAAGGGAACTCCTGGATCAAGTATTGGAGAAAAATTTGCCTTCGAGAAGGGCTTTTTTGATGGAACTAACCAACATTTGCGTTACACGGAGAGGAAAACCACGAAAATCTCCCACGGTTAGCCTGAAGGCAAGGGAACTCTAACCCATGATCCGTCTAAAACTGAGAATATTTTCCGTCAGCACTGTGGTCGGTGCAAGCAGGATGCGGATTTCGTATCTACCAGCCATTGCTGGGATTCGAACCCGGTTCGCCTTATTCGAAGGCGAACGTTCTATCCCCTGAGCCATCACGGCTCATGAATGATATATTGTATGCTACTAAATATTTAATATTTTAATTATATCTCACAGTTTCTAGATCGAACTCCAACAGACCTTTCAATCCCAGCTAACCGGTCTAAATCCACTTTATCCTGTTCTCATTTTATTTTCATGAGCTTCAAAAGAGCTTCACGGAAGCAAATAGGACCGCATCCACTAATTTCAATAATCACAAATTAAATTTCTAATGTAGTTTGATATATTTTTTGTATTATGTTCATATTATGAGAAAAGATATTAAGTTTGAAAATGCTGATTATTTTTTGTTTGATCTATTTTTGAAAAGAATAACCATTTTTTTAACATTTTCACTAATATTATTTTTAATTTTATTCCCTCCCCCCCCCCAAAGACAGAAAAATATTTCGGAACTTTAAAAATGTAAAGGAGTATAAGTACAATTCAATGCGTTTTTTAAATTTACTTCGCTTACCGAAATCAAAAGTATGTTCTATATGCTCACAAACCATCCTCCAAAAAACTTCTTTTTGCTTATTGTTAGCTGAATAAATTTCCTCAGATGCAATTTAAAAAAATAATTTTACCAATATAATACTCTATTACCATCAATACTTTACCAAAGTCATTTGTAAATAATTAATTATGTTTTTCCTCATACGCTTACAAAAGAGAAAACATTCTCATTGAAATATGAATTTAATCAACGTATATCTTAATATTTGTTTGTCTAGACCATTTTGAAACTCGTAAATTAGATAATTTTTGAAAATGAATGTTTTTTTTTCAGATAAAGACGCCCTTGATAAGTATGATAAATGCCAAAAACTGGCATCTGATGAGGTAAGAATTTTTTTTTTTTTAAGTTTATGCATAAAAACAAATTTGAAGAAATAGGTACCGTTTTATCGCTAGAATCTTAATATATTGACGTTCCATTGCAAAATTCGTAACTTTTTGATGCATTTTAAGAATTATAACATTTATCAATGTAAGCATTATTTTCTACTGCTACTAAATTTCAAATGGCTCTAACCCAGATAGTACCGTTACCTAGCAGCAACAAAAATGCCACAATTATTATTAGGCCGAACCAAATATTTGACTTTTGAACCAAATACTGAATATTCGCTGCATAAATAGTTTGCAAAATTCATTTTTTAATGCATTTTGGGGCAATTGCACACATTTTAAGAATTAATGAATACAGTTTAAGCTCTAGAATTTAATATAATTTTTTATCTTTTAAATATTTTAATTTTTACTACACACACTTAGTGCTGAAATATACTAAGTAGCTCACAAGAACATTAATGATCATTATGATTCGGAATAGAGGTAAAAAATAAATTTGCTTTTAGAGGAAGCTAACAATAAGCTTAAAAATAATAAGCTTACAATATTTAAAAAGTATGCCTCTAAGTTATAGATTCCAATTGTATACTAATGAACACTGTTATCATTTTTTTTAAAAAACAGCAATATTGAATGTTAAAACTTATTTTATTAATATAATATTCAATAAATAAATTAGTGTAAAGAGAATATTAAATTGAACCAGTAAAATAATTTTGAAAGGACCCAACATAAATTTGTTATTAAGAAAAATCAAGATTTTAAATTAAATTTAAGCTTACAGGAAATACTTTCATTCAACTGCTGAGAAGTAAGTAATTTTAGCCAAAACGAACATTAGATTAAAAGTTATTCTGTATGTTTAATTTTTTTACACACAGTACATTATGCAGAGTAAAAAATGAAGAAATTGAATTATTTTCGTGCTATTTCTAGGATTTTAACGCTTAAGTAGTTGAAATCAGGCGAATTTGGTCACAACAGCTCAGAGTAAAGAAAATACTCAAACTTCTCTCGCATTTTCGCTACATCTGTAAGACTTTTAAGCAAATAAATATTTTTTAAACACTACAATAAAACTTCTTCATTCAAAGATAAAATTTTTCAAAGTAAATTTGAATTGCAAGGTATACATTTTTTTACAAAATTAGGTGACAAATTACAAGATTGAACGAAATCGGCTTAGGTATTCAAAAATAAAAATCTGAAAATAATTTTATTTTAACACTTTTAACTCAAAACCTAATTGATCGATTCCGCTAATTTTATAATTTTAAATTATGCGGATTAAAATATAATTAAAGTTTGTAAAACCCACCCTTCAATTTTTTTTCGGCTATTATAGTACAAAATAATTAAATAAAACAGTAACAAATTAATAAAAAGTTATTTTTACTGCAGGAACGAATAAGTTATTTTACTTGTAAAACGATTTTTAAGATTTTTCGATTCGCTTAAAAAGTACCCGAAACGAGGCGAAGTAAGTAAACATGGAAACTAATAAGCAGTGGCCTAAACTTTCGGCCACTTTCCGGACTAAGCTATAGTGACCATATTTTAAGACTGCCGTTTCCCCTACCTTGTGTTCTGAGAGTTAAAATCCATTGAAAAAGGTAGCAATATTCATTGATAAAAAATAATTTTCAGGTGTTTGTTTACGAAGCACTAATCAAGCACCAATGAACCAATGTTAATCTAATCTATTTCAATTTTAATATTGGTTTTTTGAAAATGAAAATCTAATCAAAAACATCTAAGCTATAGGATGATAACTTTTTTTTCTACTGGCTTCCTTCTGAAGGAATAATAACTTTTTTTTAAAGACAATAACGAAGATGCTGAAGATTATGGGAGATATTGCCAACAGAGAATGGTCAGACTCAGAAGCAGCATATAATGAATTCTGCAACATGGATAAAGATCAGCAGGTAAGGGGAAAAAATTACGTAGGGTTAACCAACCAGTGAAGGAACATTTCATATATATTGATTAAAAATAAGAATTTGAAAGTTTTTCTTTAGATTGATTGGTAACAATAGCTTACTGCCAAACAATAGGAAGTCATCTAGCAATGTTTTGCATTACCTGGTCAAATAGACTTCTCTGGAAAAAATTTTGAAATTGTTATTATCTCTGCAACACCTTGTTTCTTTGAAAAAATTATTAGGTGTATGTTTGTATTTATATGTTTGAAGTGTAATAAATTGCATGTAATAGTTTTATTTTTCTCACTGTGAAAAAGAGAATTCAAAATATAGTTATTGAAGTTACGTTTTATTTTTTTTAAGCATCATAGCATAATAAAGTACTGAGATAAGGGGGGGGGGGTTATTCACTGGATCACCAAACGATGAAAAACCAGTGAAGGAATAAGTGTTCCTTTACTGGGTTTTTTTCTAAGCTAATGATATAACTAATGATAAACTATAAACTTTAATTTTCTTGTACCTTTAGTAATGTTCCGCATCAAAAGTATGTTAAAAATACGAAAAACAACTTCTAACCAGTGAGGGAACACGCATGTTCCTTTTTTTGGGCATAGATTTCCCAGTGAATGAACAGTATGTGTTAATATGTTGACACGTTAATTTTGAATTCATGATTACAAAAGAAAATTTAACATTTCCCAAGTATTTATACGTTATAATTTCAAGAATAGGCTTGTTTTTGAATATTTGTATGACTTATAAATTCATAAAGAGCATTAAAAAATAACCAAAATTTAGTGTTCCTTTAATGGGTGTTTATTCACTAGTAAGAGCTGTTCCTTCACTTGGTCTTCTTACTACTTGTTATTTGAACCTCCAAAACTTTAAAACAATATTATGTAAGTTCTCTACAATTTTTTTTTACATAATTTGCAATTAGTAACAAATATGTTGACACTGCCATTTAACTAAAATTAAGAATTTTGAAATTAATATGATTTTTTAAAAGGCAAGCGAAGCTTAAGTGTTCCTTCACTGGTTAGTTTACCCTATTTCCTTCATAAGTTTTAATTACGTTAATGAATAAACACCTCGGAAATGCAACGATTGCTACTGAAACTGAGTTACTTTCAGGAATTTGATGAAATTTTTGATAACATCATAATTGTAACCCTCAGATTGCTAAAAATTAACCTTTTGTACTCCGATGCCCCCACGGAGGCACCATCAACAGTTACCACTTCAAAATTAAGAAATTTCATACCTTAATAATTAATAACCACATTATTTTAACAATTTTAAAATTGTATAACAATAATATAGTGAGTATTTTAAATGCTGTAGTGTTGATATTAGATCAAACAGCATTTAAAAGTACTCGCAGGGCAAAGATAAACTTTATACCACATTTTTGTTTTCTGATCCAGTCATTTTCCCGACATTCGGTTGCCCGACAACTCAAATACGCGACTCTGATTTTCTAAAGACTCATTTGTCGAGCAAGTATGATTGCCTGACGATACATTTTCCGAGATGTCGAATTGCCTGTCAAATTATTTGTCTGGCAGTTTCATTCACCAGTCAGAGCTACAATTTAGGGGAAATGATTTTAGTTTTTTGTTATTTTTCGCTATTGTTCATAGAATATTTCTCTTTATTTTTTATAATACGTATTCATATTTATTATATTCTTGGTATTCTGATTGCAGATTACGACTACTTCCAATAAGAATCTAACATACGCAGTCCGGTAGTGGACTGATTATTAAGGCACGGTTCCCAGCAGATCACCGAAGTCAAGCATCACTGGCTAATCAGTGTGCGGGAGGGTGACCACTTGGATCAGTCTGCGTAGGGACCGAGGGTGTGTGATATTAGTCCTCGTTAAACTGTTCTACCATAAAGTGCTCGACTTCACATGCAGGTCGTCGGGCTACCGATGCGGGGGGCGCCATCCCCTCTGCAGAGGATCAAAATTGTGATGGCATGTCTTCGGATCATCCTCAGGGATGTTTCCCAGACCGTTGCCAACAGCCCATTGTGCTGCTCTAGTGCGACGTAAATGAACTACAACAACAGCATTCTAACATACGCATCATTTTTCCTACAAGGAATCAAATTACTAAATCTCGGTTGCTTAATTAAAATGAAAACATTCAATCTGAACGTTCTGATAGGCGTTAAAATATAATTGCGTCTGTGGAATAAAAAAACGAAACTTAATGTATCAGTTGTATGGGCAAGGTGGTTTTAATGGAGGGCTGTACTAAAGAACGAAGAGAGCATAATTAGAATTTTTCAAAAACTAATGATTTATTACATAATATTTATCTGTCAATTAGTCCAAATTTCCGTTTTTTTTCTTTTCCTCTTTTTTTTTGGAACAAATACGCACCGTTGAACAAATGAGTAGTTGGGCAAACATACCTATCTGACAAACGTACTTGACGTAAAAATGAGCTCACGAGCAATTGCCTCCGTTGGACAGAGGACAAATGAGTTGGCGGGCAAACGGAATCGAGAAATTGAGGTATCGAGCAACCGAGCTATTGACAACTTATGTCGGGGAAATGTACCAGACCCTCTGTTTTCCTATCATTAACACCGGTGTTTAATGAAATTCATCTGGTCGCCAAAATTATTCGGTAGTTAGGGTACATTGTAATAAATCTTGGATCAAATTATGTTATAAAGTACCCGCACTTTGGGTGCATCATTCACAAATTCCATTTTACAGTAAAATCCAATTTCGTCAGAAAATATTATGCCATATTTTTTACAGTAATGAGTCACTGATTTTGCGGTAATAATTACTGTAAAAGTTGCAATATAGTATATCAGATTTTTTTAATCCGTAACATGTTCCGGTGAAAATGGATTTAACGGTGAAATAGGCCGGCAATTCTAACGCAATTTAATGCGGAATTTTTTTTTACAGTGTATCCCATTTCCCACAATTTTTTGTAATAAACGGAACAAAAACGCAATAAAATCTGACGAATTGATAAATATTCGTTAGTCTTAAAATCCAATTCAGTTTTTTTAAATCCCTTTCGATTCATTTTCGATCCGGCATTGAAAGGTTGTTGTAGATGAGGGTGAATACATTATTGATTGAAAATAAAATCTTGATGACAAATATCAAATGCACCAAAACGACATTACTTTCTGGTCATCCGGTATACGCAAATCTAATCCACTATATATATATNGGTTTCTCGCCCAGGAACAATGTTTTCATGGGGCACATTAGGACCCATAATCCTCATAGAACAATCCCTGACGTCTGTAAGCTACTTGATAGTTGCAGACCAGGTTCACCCATTCATGGCAACAGTTTTTCCTGCGAGGGATGGTGTTTACCAACAGGATAATGCACCATGTCATAAGGGTCGAATCGTCGAGGAACATTCCAGTGAATTTCAAGTCATGTCTTGGCTCCCAAATTCACCTGACCTTAATCCAATAGAGCATTTGTGGTCCTACTTGGAAAATCAAATTCGTGCTGTTGGTGAGCCAATTGGTGAGCGCTTGGTACCAGATACCTCAGACTACCACCTTGTGGAATCAATGCCACGGCGGGTGCTAGCAATTTTTGAGGGCTAAAGATGGTCCTGCATGTTATAAGCAGGGTGATCATAATGTAATGGCTCTTTGGTGTATATATTTAGTACATTTTGATATAGTATCAGAAATTTCTTTTAGCTTCTGTTTCTTGGGGTTCCTTAAAAATCTCGTTTGCGTTGAAAAGGACGTTGATCTTGAACTTATTATGAATTTTAATCATTAAATTAACTTTTTATGAGAAAAAAATTATATTATAGCAATTTATCTAAGGTATATTTCTCTTTTTAAGCATGAATTTTTCATCCATCATCTGCAGCAAATGTTAGAAGAATATTCAGTAAGTATTTGTAATAAACTTATTTTGTATGTTTAAATACTGTTTTAGAAGTTATATGCTGCAAAGTGCTGAAAAAAGGAAAAAAAATTATCGAAACTAAAATTAGGGCCTCTGATATTTTAATATTTAAAAGATTATCTCATATATTTTAAGTGGTCGTCAGAGATTTATAGAAAAATTCCTATATCCTTCAGAGTTTATTGGGCATGTGTCTAATATTCTGAAAGAAACTACATCAATTGATTAAATTTCTTTCCTTTCCGAAAATTATGTTTGTTCCAGAAAATTTCTCTTAAAGAATTGTGGAAATACTTACATTTTTAGAAATTAATATTTTTAAATTACCATTCAATATGAAACGCATTATTAGTTCAATGAAGTACATATATTTTTAATCAATGAGCTTAGATACAAAAGTGCATGAAAGCAAGGTGATTACTGATTGTACGTTACAGTCACATGTTTTGAATTGTAAATATTTAAAGCATTTATTTTACTAACTTTAATTATATTAAAGAAAGGTATGAAAGTAAAGATAATTGATCCAAACAGGCTAAATTATTCCATCAAACACCTAATACAAAAATCACAAGGAAAGTTTTCACAGTCATATAAAAGACGTTAAGGGGGATAGCTCTTTAAAAAGGTAAATTATACTTAATAAAAGATCACTAATTAGATCATGCAGTTGATTCGATTCGTTCGCTAAGGCAAACTCTTGAAACAATAAACGAAAAAGAATTTAGATATACCCTCTTTTTGTATCATTCAAAGCAACTTGCGGTTTGTATTACCAGGACAAAGAAATTTGAGGTGAAGTTTGAACTTGATATCCAGTGCAAGCTTGTCGATAACCTAATGAATAACATTTCGAAGCCTTAAGTGTAGAGCTTACCTGATGTCCAGTGTATCAGATGTTTTCTATTCAGTGAGAGTCCTTTGACAAAGAGACTAGTTATCATTCCTTTTATTTAAGATAGCTGTAAGAGATACACAGATGAACACCAAAGGCGGGACGTGATAGCCTGGTTGGTAGGACGTCTTTGAGAACGGGAGTTCGAATCCAGCCGTTCGAAGAATCCTCATTTTATTAAATGGTGACTGGTGCACGTTAAATCTGTCCGGATCACAAAGTCCTCCAAGTTGCCATAACAAATTAATACCTCTGAATGTTCAAAATTAGACATTCTCGAAGATCGAAGGTAGAAAAAAACGAGGCTGACCTCTTACGAGGTGGTTAGATTGCGTTTAAAAGAATTTGAGATCATTAGGAGTTAGCAAACGAAGAAAATTTGCAGTAAATTGTATTTATAGGAGGAGTAAGACTGATAAACATTGGCTTGCTTTAGGCTGTAGTGCTGAGGAAGAGGAAGAATTAGAAAAGTAAAGACAAACACGATGAAAGCCTTGGAATGAAATTCTTGAGAAAAACCACGACGAATCCACATTTACCAAAATATTGTGGAGGAAAAAACAGCAGTTTAGTTGATTGTTTCCTAATTCTACTGTAGCATTCAATTACTACCGAGGTTGAAGGGTTACCCGTCGAAGAAGATGATCTTTTTCTGTAGAACACGTGTGCTATATTTCTCCTCCGCCAATGAAAAAATTCATACGGGTTTTTCTTAAATATGGAATGGTGGTTAATTTAACTGTGATTTTGGAATTAGCGTCCGCTCGCCAAGCTTTGATCTCATAATAAATTTTTATGTCTGTAATTATGGGAAATACTACTTTAACTCTTTGAATATTTCAAAATATTAACTATTGTTTTTGGCGTTAATTGTAGTCTGATAGTTAGATAGTTAGTTTGATATAGAAAGATTATTTTTAAAAATTTTGGATACACTGATGAAGAATTTTAATTTTGCGGATTTCCCTAATTACCCGTTTTAAGCTCTCTTGATAATGTATTTTAAGTGCTGAAAAATATGATAAAAAAGGCTTATATTCGACTTTGATAATAATTTCTAATTTTCCATCTTTCTTTGCAATTTTAAAGTATGTACTTATGTATACAATAAAAACATATATCTTACCGTATCAGAAAACATCAATCTGTATCAAGGACAGTGTGGAGGTAATGCAATTGCAACTACTTAATAAAAATTAATATTTATATCAATCAATTGTTTCTGTGGGACATCGGCCGAAAGTTCCATAAATCGAAATCCTTTGAAAAGAAGGCGTGTTTATTCAGAGAAAGTAGGGTTTTGTGTCTGATTTCATTACTTAAAATATCATCTGCACTGCAAGATTAGTGTATTTTTGAGAAAGTTCGCGAAGCATCAAGATTGGGTCAATTGTAGGCTCCCTAATTTGTCCATAATAATTCCCATATTGGTATGGTACTACAGTATATCATAGTATAATACCTGACAGAATTTGAATATTATAGGTTAATTTTTAGGGGGAGATATTAAGATATACACCGAAGAGCCATTACATTATGACCACCCTGCTAATAACATGTAGGACCAGCTTTAGCCCTCAAAACTGCTAGCACCCTCCGTGGCATTGTTTCCACAAGGTGCTGATAGGTAGTCTGAGGTATCTGGTACCAAGCGCTCACCAACTGGTCCTGCAATTCCCTCACATTGCGAGGGGGTAGCGTGGCAGCACGAATTTTGCTATCCAAGTAGGACCACAAATGCTCTATTGGATTAAAGTCAGGACAATTTGGGGGCCAAGACATGACTTGAAAGTTACTGGAATGTTCCTCGAAGATTCGACCTTTATGACATGGTGCATTATCCTGTTGGTTAACACCATCCCCCGCAGGAAAAACTGTTGCCATTAATGGGTGAACCAGGTCTGCAACTATGTTCAAGAAGCTTACAGACACCAGGGATTGTTCTATGAGGATTATGGGTCCTAATGTGACCCGTGAAAACATTGTTCCTGGGCGAAAAACCAGGAAAACCTGGGCGAGCTCATTGTTATAGATGCAGGGTGGTCAGAATGTAATGGCTCTTCGGTGTATATATATTATGAATATCGTGATAACGAAATTAGATAAAATACTTCTATCTCTGAAAATATAGAAATAGCATTTTGAAAACAATAAAATAGACAGCCATCGAAACATTTATTCAAAATATGTAAAAACAAAAAGTTGAACAAAACAAATGTGTAGTCATTTTTAACAGGTTTGTGGAATTGTATCATGGTTTTAGCGCCAGTTTTTCTATAGAATGAAATATTTATTAACTTTACTAATGATAAATCAGCTTTTAAATCATATACATGCTTTTACATTTTTTACATATAAATATGCTTTTACATTTTTAGTCAACGTGTGCTGATTTTATGCAAGTTGTATCATGCAAAAAAATGACAGAAATGACTGTAAGTATCACTTGGTATTTTAAATAATTTAATAATGGGATATATTTATTTATAAATGAAATATTTAACATGTATTTATTTATTATGTAACTTTATTTATTTCTAGAATTAATATTTAATATTTTTGAGATAAAGATTTATAAATTTATTCATAAAACTAGTATTTATTCATACAGTAGTTACTAAAAAAATTGCTAACTAAATTGTGATTCTTAACCCATTCAAGACAGGCAGATAAAGAAAAAAACATTTCTGTTGACCCGCAAATATAAGAGTTTTTATTTATTCAGTGAGGATACGATATGGCACGTATACGATACGATACGATTTAAAGTACGATACGATACGATTACGTATACGATCTAATGCTAGATGTATACGTAAAAGTTCCATATTGAGGTAGCATCCGTGTATTCCTGGGCCTATAGAATCAGGAGGGCTCGTTCCATGTTGGATATTGTGAGATGGTAAGGCAGAATACAGTATTTTCATGTACATGTAAACACGGTTCTGAAAGGGTCACATTTCAATTGTAGAATGTTAGACCTTCTATACGAAGAGTTCACTATTTCATACATTTTTTAAGTGCTATTTCGGCACTATTTCGTTTCCAGAGATCGTAAAAAAACACAAAACTATCATTGCTTCCAATGACGTGTAACATATTGCGATAAAACGTATTTTATTTTACTTTATAACCGGCTTTAAACACCAGGCCCATCAATGCTCAACTCCATATCCTTGAAATTTTGAATCACACTTAAAACACAAGAGAACTCCTGGATCATACATTGGGGGAGATTAGTCTTCGAGGAGGACTTTGATGGAAATCACCTTTGTTTTCGTTACATGGAGAGGAAAATCAAGAAAACCGTTAGACCACTGGAAACGTTTTATTAAAGCACTATAGTCTTTACGAGCCGAGTGCGGAATTCATATCGACCAGTCATCGCTGGGATGAACCTGGCATCGAACCTGGTTCACCTCATTGTAAAACAACTGCTCCATTCCCTGAGCCAACTCGGCTCTGGTAATATGTAAAGTAAAAATATGAAATAGGTTCCTTGAATATTAATGTATGTATTTAATTTCCAGTACTAAATTAGTAAGTTTTTACGGCCTACCAGAAACGGAATAGTAGCTGATTTCCTAACGAGATATTTTTATGAGTTTGCGTATTCCATAGTCAAAGAGACATGATCCATAGATATTAAAAATGTTAAGCTCATTTAATTGATTATTATGAAATTGAAGAATGTTAAAAAAACATATCTTAATAATAGGATCTTGTCTTAAAATAGACACGTTTTAACTCCTTGTCTACCGCGGACTTAGCTAAGCTGATGCGTTAACTGCCCCTGGCGTATATATGTTACGGTGAAGCACCGAAATCTGGAGAATGTCAACATTCACCGGTGAATGTCAACATTCACGTAGTCGCTTTGGTGAATGTCCGAAATATTTGTTATATCCAATTTTATATTAATTTATTCCTTAATATAATTATATTTATTTAATATATTTATATTTATTCTATATTTTAATACTTACTGACGATAGATTAGAAGAAACATCAGTGTTTGGAGTATCGGGCAAATATATACCGGGTAACGGCACTTGACCTTAAAAAACATCAGTGTAGGGTATACCGGGCAAATGTATACCGGGCAGTGGCACTTAACCTTAAAAAAACATCAGTGTAGGGTATACCGGGCAAATGTATACCGGGCAGTGGCACTTAACCTTAAAAAAACATCAGTGTAGGGTATACCGGGCAGTGGCACTTAACCTTAAAAAAACATCAGTGTAGGGTATACCGGGCAGTGGCACTTGACCTTAAAAAAACATCAGTGTAGGGTATACAGGGCAAATGTATGCCGGGCAGTGGCACTTAACCTTAAAAAACATCAGTGTAGGGTATACCGGGCAGTGGCACTTGACCTTAAAAAAACATCAGTGTAGGGTATACAGGGCAAATGTATGCCGGGCAGTGGCACTTAACCTTAAAAAACATCAGTGTAGGGTATACCGGGCAGTGGCACTTGACCTTAAAAAAACATCAGTGTAGGGTATACCGGGCAAATGTAAACCGGGCAGTGGAACTTAACCTTAAAGAAACATCAGTGCAGGTTATACCGGACAAATGTATACCGGGCAGACGCACTTAACCTTAAAAAACATCAGTGTAGGGTATACCGGGCAAATGCATACCGGACAGTGGCATTTAACCTTAAAAAAACATCAGTGTTGGGTATACCGGGCAAATGTATACCGGACATTGGCACTTAACCTTAAAAAAAAATCAGTGTAGGGCTAAAATATCAAATAAATGTAATTATATCCACGAATAAATTCATATCAAATCGAATGTAATAAATATTTGGGACATTTACCAAAGCATATCTGTGATTGTCGACATACACCAGCGAGGATCCGAATGTACAAGAATGTAATGAAATATTCGATCTTTCACCGACGTATTTGGTGTTTGTCGACATTCACCGGTGAAACTCAACAACCACCGATTTCGGTCTTTAATTCGCCGTGACATATACACACCTTTCAAAAGTACGAACTGGTCAATGCGCTTTACCATGTGCTACTATGAGTCATAGAATTAATACCACCCGCTTTAGAGTGCAAAAGAATGAATTTGAGTGTATTTTCAAAGGATTTCAGACAAGTGGGGAAGGGTGAAGAAGTTTCAAGAAAATAAATCATAACAGTGTTGTTATTGTTTGTGTTTCTTTTGAGTAGCACGCGCTTTTTTACTTTCCTTTCGCTTCCGTTTTTATCTCCATGTGTAATAAAAGTTTTTATTGTTTGTTCAAATATTGCTGAAAGTGTATTAAATAATAAAAGTTTTTTTTGTGCAAATATGTCTGAAAGTGAATGAGAAAATACAAGTTTTTATTTTTTGTGCAAATATGTCTGAAAGTGAATTGGATAATGAAAGTTTTAATTTTAGTGCAAATATGTCTGAAATTGAATTAGATAACTATTTTTCTTCAACTTCAGAGTGAGAAACTTCGGAATATG